GCCCTGCAGCTGACACTGATTGGATAAGGTGCCGGCACCGCAATCACAAAAGAAACTGCAAAAGTCAAATGGAATTGGATTAATGAAATACTCATGTAAATATAAATCAATTTTGAGTCGTCTCACCGATCGTGTCGTATAAATTCAACATCATGTCCTGCATGACAATTCTTTATGCAATTGACACATATGGCATTCCGATCCGTTGTATTGCAGGTCTGGCAGCGATAAAAGTCGTGCATGGGAAAGGATGTATAGCTGCTAATCTTGTACAGGCATTGGCCGCTGGACACCGCCTTCTCCACCTCATCCTCGTTGTTGAATATGTTGTTGCCGCGCGTTATCGGCTGCACGCCGCTGGCGAGGCACAAGCCACCGAACTTATTCTTAAATATCTGATTGTGCTCCAGCGTGGCTGTTGCATTGTTGGTTATCTCCACGCCAGCTGCTTGTCCGTCATAGATGCGATTACGTCGGAGTATCGGATGCGATTGCGTTGAGATCAGCACGCCTGCCTGCGTATTCCGAAAGATGTCGTTCTCCTCGAGTATGCCCTTGCCGCCATTGAAGATGCATATGCCGCCGTCGCGTCCATCATAGATCTTGTTGCGCTTGAGTGTGGGATTCGAGTCGGTTTTGATCCACACGCCAGCCATGGCATTGTCAAAGATCTCGTTCTGCTCAAGCAGACCTAGTCCGCCGTTGTAGACCAGAACGCCGCCATTCTGGCCGCCCCAGATCTTGTTGCCACGTATCACCGGATTGCTGCCCGTGCGTATTTGGACACCCGAATACAGATGATTGAATATATCGTTATCCTCCAGCTTGCCATGCCCGTTGTCATAGAAATAGACGCCCACTTGTTTGCCGGAGTGTATGCGATTACGACGCAACACTGGTGTGCTGCCCGTGGTTATCCAGACGCCGGCCAATGTATTCGAGTACACCTCATTCTCCTCAATCAGACCCTGACCCTTCTCATGCACATAGATGCCCCCATGCTGGCCATGGTGAATCTTATTGTGCCGCACAATCGGATCACTGTTCGTGCGTATCTGAATGCCAGCCAGTGCATTGCCATAGATGTTATTATGCTCAATGAGGCCGCGACCCTCGCCAAAGATATAGACGCCACCCTGATGGCCATTATAGATTTCATTCTTGCGTATAGTTGGATTGCTGTTCGATGTTATCCACACACCTGAAGAGATGAATCGAGTTTGAATTAGCCACTCATTTGGTTATCGAAGACATGAGAGATATATATCAAAATGATTATCGATCACTTAACTAAGTAGTCGATACAAATTTCAATATTGTCTCACAAATATAATTCTCATTTTAGGTAAACTAACTACTTATATTATGGATTGATTAATTTAAAATCAGTTTACTGCTCTATAATGATGTAAAATTTAACATATTTTTATGAGCTCGATTAATTAATTCAATTGCATTTTAGTAATCATTTCGAAAGCACTTTCTTCGAAGGTAAATATGAAATCATAATCTATAAATCCAAGAGCTGTATCAGCTAACTATATTCACCTACTATTTTAATACATTATAATTTCCTTGGGTAACTATTATCGATATCGATATCGATCAATTTGTTATCTGTAATTATAGCTTCACATACCCGCAAAATTATTTGAATGTATTCGATTTTCAATGAACTGTCCCAGCCCATTCTCATGCACATAGATGCCGCCGGTCTGACCATGATGAATCTCGCACTTGACCACTGTGGGATTGGCGCCAGCTTTGACCTCAAAGCCAGCTATGCGATTGTTGTGTATATCGTTCTTCTCAAAATAACCCTGAAATAACAATTATAACAATTATCAGGCAATTATAGAAGTTTAAGGTGAATAACTATTTCAGCTATATGCAAATCATAGATGCATATTCATATATGTATATAAGACCATACCATGCCGTTCTCAAAGGTAAATATGCCCACATCGCGTCCATGGTGTATATGATTCTCACGCATTATGGGGCTGGCAAAGTTCTTCACCCAAATGCCGGCCAGGGCGTTACGGCTGATCTCGTTGTGCTCGTAGGTGCCCTGGGCGTAGTCCGTCACGTAGAGTCCGACGTTTTCGCAGTCGCTGATGTCACAGTTGCGTATAACGGGATTGGCGCTGACGCCGCCCACACAGACAGCGGCTCCCACCACCGATGTGGAGCGTATGATGCAGTTGTCCACAGTTGGCGAACAATTCTCGCCAATGTCCAGGCAATAGTGCTTGTGATGCGACACCGTTGAGGTGACCTCCGGTGAAAATTTGAGCGTTAGGTAGCCCACATAGGCGTATTTGGCACCCTCCACGAACATCACAGTGGAGCCTGCCTCGCGCTCCAGCACCACCGACTCGGCCACATTGCCGGGTGCTGCTCCGACGAGAGCTACGTCTGAGTCAATGAATAGATATTCTCCTTTATAGTGGCCGGCATGCAGGAATATTAATGGGCCTGGATGCTCGGCTGGTGGCACATTCTCCTCGTATATATTGGCCAGAGCATTGACACTGGCACCGCCACCCCCAGCACCAACGCCACCATTGCCGGTGCCGGTGCTGCTGGTGGAGTTCGATAGACCGGCAGAGAGATTGCCAGCGCCAGCGCCAGCATTGGAGCCAGCAGCAAAGGCCGGCTCCAGAGCTGCTTGTATGGTATTGAAGAAGACGATGCTGCGTCCGGGCTGACGCCTGTCCTGGTAGCCGGGGCGCACATGAACACCGCGGTAGAGCTGGCGGAAGCTCTCCTTCCAAGGATTGGCATACTCCGACTCCTCGGGCTTCTCGAACACAAATTTGCACAGCTCGGGATTGAAGAGCGGCAAATCGTACTCGAACACCGACTGGAACAGACGCTTCCACAGTTCCGTGTCGTTGGCAATGGTATTGAAGCGCTTGCAGACCAGCGCCAGCCGGCACAGATCCTGTTCCAGCAGGTAGGAGAATATGGCCAGCAGCACCTCATCGGCCAGCTCATATTGCAAATACTGCGCAGCTGTGGGACCACTACCGCTGGCCGCACTGCCTCCACTGCCCGCATCCATGCTGGGCACCGCCGCCGTGTCCGTCTCCCCGCTCTGCGTGTAGAGGCGGCGCGAGCGCTTGCGTGCCGGCAGCATATAATTATTCTCCTCAATTACTGCTGCTGCACCGCCCACGGGCAAGGCGCCACAGTGCTGCTGCTGCGGCACAGAGCTGTGCACATTCGGGGGCTGGGCGAGCGTGGCACCTGTTGTGGGCGCATTGCTTACGGGAAAGGTGGCGCTGGTTGAGGGCGCCTGTACAATGGCCGATGGCGACGAGGATGACGAAGTCGATGATGAGTTTGAAGCCGACGATGCCGATGACGAGCAGGCAGGTGAATTGCTGGGGTTGAGTAATGGTGGCGAACTGCTGGCTGGACCCACCATAATGGCTACAGATTGACCAGCGCTTGACCCGGAGGAGCACCACTGATCATGGTTACTCACGGCAGATATCTTGCGACGCAGATCATATGGCGACTGATGGCAACAGGAGGCGCTGCTACTGCTACTGCTGCCACTGCTGCTGCTACTAGTGTTGCTGCTGTTGCCCTGACTGGCAGCGGATGTGCTGGAAAAGTTGGAATTGCAGGTAATGCTATTGCTGTTGCTGCTGCTGGGACCGGCGGCCGACGAGGTGCTGGCCAGTGTTGAGTTGCCATCGGAAGTGTCCATGATCTGCACAGAATTGTAGATGTTACTCATGCACGGGCTTTGATTGAGGCCAGCGGAGGATCCGGCAGCAGCGCTACTCGTGGATTGACCACTATCAAAGTATTCCGTGGCATTGCTGCTGTTGGGAGCAGCATTGTTGTTGTTGTTGTTGCTGTGTGAATTATTGCTACTTCCAGCTGATGCTGCAGCAGCCGCTGCTGCTGATGCTGCGGCTACTGTTGCGGAGGCTGTGCTTGTTGCTGCAGCATTGTTTTGCTGTGCATGCACTGACTGCTGCAGCATGGGATCCATTATGTTGCCCGTGGGACGATTAGGCATGGCTATGCGATTGGCTCCTTTTCGTCTGGAGCGACGCACATAGGTGCGCGATGATGTAAACGAGGCGCTGGGCATTTTTAGTTATACCCTTTTTATTTTACTTCTGTATGGAAATGCTTGCGGTAAAGGGGAACAAGTTCTGTGGCGTTTAACACTTTTCACAATTTATCAACCCCAAACCCAATTTTAATTCCACACTCACACACACAAAAGCACTCGCACTGGCACGGGCACATACACACATTCACACAGCCACACAGACAGTTAAATGAGCCGATGGCAATGGATTTTCTCCTTTCACTTGCAGTTCGAATGCATTACTGCAAAGTAAGCATTGCGTTCACAATTACGTTTTCGTTAAAGCACTTTATTCCAATAATAGTATATACTCAAACATTTTGTAAACTTTATTGTCGTTTATTGGACAGTTTTTTGCCTGCTTCATCATCTGCTCTTCTTCCTATTGTATGTATTGGTGTGCGTGTGAGTGTGCGGAGTTTTCGGGGTTTCTATCCTTTGTTTCTCATTTGTTTTGTTTTATTTGGAAAGAAGAGTTGCACTAGCTATCACACAGTACTGCTGTTTCGCTCGCTCATTGTTTCTTTTATTTGCTCTTTGTAACTTGCTTCGTATTGGCAGCTGAAAATTTCATGCTAGATTTCTTCATTATTTTCACACACTTTTTTCAGCAGTCACACTTTCGATTTTGTTACCGATGACTTTGTAACTATATATTACTATAAATCCATATGGTATGCAATTTCTTTTAAATTTGCAAACGAAACAAGTACGACAGAAACGAGCACGACGGGCCTGCAGTTCAGCCTACGATGACTTTTCTTTAGTGCTGCGGTCAATAAGTCATCGATATTTGAGGCTCACAGAGTTGCATTTTATCGATGATATCCGTGCACAAAAATATATCGATTAAAGCTTTTCACATTACAATTCCCGCCACTTCGGGCATCAGAAAGATTGTAACTACGCCGCATTTCGCAATAGCTGTAATACTTTTTTGGCAGAAAGTTCTATTGTAATTAAACTATATAATGCCGATTGCTAATCTTACCACAGGCGTGATTGCGGTAATTATTTAATAATTCATGGTGTTTTTGTTGCAATAACTGAACCGATTTTCCTTACAGCGCATCATGCACGGCGAGGATGTCCCACAGCCGGTGTTACAAATCTTGGGTATCAAACGGATCAACACAAATACGGATCAGGAACGCTTTCGGTTATTGATGTCCGATGGCAAGTATTACAACAGCTATGCCATGCTGGCCAGCCAATTGAATGAAATGCAGCACAAGGGACTGCTCAACGAAAACACAATTGTGCGTCTGGACAAGTACATGACCTCCATGGTTGGCAAAGAGGGCTCCGGCAAGTAAGTTGATAATTGAATTTGAAATTGGCTACAAATGTTTATCTGAGCAATTGTTATTAGACGCGTACTCATTGTAACCGAGGTGACTGTGCTGAACTCCGGTGATGAGGTAAAAACCAAAATAGGCGAACCCGTGACGTACGAGAATGCGGCTAAGCAGGACACCGTGCCAAAAGCAGCTCCTGTTACAGCGAGTGCTCCAGTAAAGAAGGAGCAATCTTACAATAATAATAACAACAATAACAATACCATGAACAGCACCATGAACGGTACACTCAATGCCAGTCTCACACATCCGATTGCCAGCCTAAGTCCGTATCAGAACAAATGGGTGATTAAAGCACGAGTTACCTCAAAGACGGCCATACGTACCTGGAGCAATGCTCGCGGCGAAGGTAAGCTTTTCAGTATGGATTTGATGGACGAATCCGGAGAAATTCGTGCCACCGCTTTTAAAGAGCAGTGTGATAAGTTCTACGATTTGATCGAGGTGGGCAATGTCTACTTCTTCTCCAAGTGCCAGCTTAAGCCGGCCAACAAGCAGTACTCTCAATTGAAGAATGATTATGAGATGACTTTCACCGGCGAGACTATGGTTCAGCTATGCGACGAGGACGACAATGGTGGCATACCCGAAATTAAGTTCGATCTGATACCTATTTCGCAAGTGTCGAACATGGAAAACAAAGAAGCCGTCGATACAATAGGCATTTGCAAAGAAGTGGGCGAGCTGCAGACCTTCACTTCACGCACAACCAATAAGGAGTTGAAGAAACGCGAACTCACCCTGGTGGATATGAGTAATGCTGCCGTCACTCTAACGCTCTGGGGCGATGAGGCCGTCAATTTCGATGGACATGTGCAGCCCGTCATCTTGGTCAAGGGATCGCGTATCAATGAGTTCAACGGTGGAAAAAGTCTCAGCATGGGTGGTGGCTCGATTCTTAAAATTAATCCAGATATACCTGAGGCCCACAAGCTGCGAGGTTGGTTCGATAACGGAGGCGGCGATAATATAAGCACCATGGTCTCTGCGCGCACTGGCGGTGGCAGCTTCAGCACGGATTGGGTGACCCTGAAAGATGCTCGCATTCGAAATCTGGGTTCGGGCGACAAACCAGACTACTTCCAATGCAAGGCAGTTGTGCATATTGTCAAGCAGGAGAATGCATTCTACAAAGCGTGTCCTCAAACGGATTGCAATAAAAAGGTCGTAGATGAGGGAAATGGCCAATACCGCTGCGAACGCTGCAATGCAGCATTTCCCAACTTCAAATATCGTCTTCTGATTAACGTGAGTTTACTATACATTGAACTTTATTTAACATCTCATTTCTAAACTTGTTTCCTTGCAGATGAGCATTGGGGATTGGACTTCAAACCGTTGGGTAACCTGCTTCAGCGAGGTCGGTGAACAGTTGCTGAAGCACTCGGCTCAGGAAGTTGGTGATGCTTTAGAGAACGATCCGGCAACCGCGGAGAAAATGTTCTCCGATATTAATTTCTCATCTTACATTTTCAAATTGCGTTGCAAGAATGAGATGTACGGCGACATGACGCGCAACAAGCTGACTGTCCAGTCCATGAGTCCCATCAACTACAGGGAATACAATAAGCATCTCATAAAAGAGCTTAAGGAAATGACGGGCATTGGACCTGCTAACTAGCTCTTCTACACGTGCAGCGCGCGTCTTTTTGAAATATATATTAAGCTAATTAATTAAGTTTAAATATTATATATACATCGCAACTAATTGAAATACATTTAAACATTCTTAATTAAAGTCTTCTTAATTTTAAATTATGATCAAATATATATTTATATACATATATTAATATATATTTAATCAATATTATTTATTAATTCATTTCTTTTAGCTATAGAAAATTGCAGGGGTTTCTAGGAGGACAGTGAAGGACGAGATGTTGATCAGCTGGTCATAAATTGTTATGGTTGAAGAATGATCTCTAATTATTAACTCCTGCCACTGTTAGTGATGCGCAAGCTGATTGGCCTCCAATTTCGTCTACGAGATATTTCCGATAGTAGACAGCCATCGATAGTCAAGATCACGCAGAGTTGTATTTTTTAAAGCTGATAACTTATCAGTGATAAGACATACAATCTAAACGATAAAAGCTCTTAGTATTCATTAAATTGTACATTCCCGCTATTTCATCCAATAACGAATTTTTACTAGATATTTTTATTAAAAAAATATTAAAATTTATATAGGAAATACATTTTAGTCCATTTTTATAATGAGTCTAACTAAAGGTGCAATAGCGGTAAATATACATACTACAATTTTAAGAACCTTGATGAATTTATTTTAAGATATGACTCATATTGCAGCGAATAATGCAAGGCGAAAGGGTATTAAATCCGGTTCTGCAGATTCTGAATATTCAGAAATTAAATACGGACAATTCAGATGAGGATCGTTTTTGCTTGACCATATCGGATGGCGAATATTACCATAACTGTACCCTGCTGGCCAGTGAGTTGAATAAGATGCAACATAGAGGACGACTCAATGAGAACTCAATTGTGTGGCTAAATAAGTACTCGATCGACATGGCTGGAAGGCGGGTGTCTGGAGGGTACGTAGATAATTGAATTCGGCAGTAAATGTTTCCATAATCAATCGTTTGCAGCCTTGAGATTATTGTGGACGAGCTAACACACTGCTGCATTCGGGATATGAAGTAAAAACAAAAATAGGTGAACCCATGACCTACGATAAGGCGGCAAAGCTTATTACGTCTCAGGAAGCATCTGCTTTTGCGAGAAGAAATCAATCTTGCAACAAAATTAATGAAAAAGTAATTCCGATTTCCCATCTAAGTGCATATATGAACAATTGGATTATAAAGGCCCGGGTTAGCGGAAAGACGCGCATACATCCGTATAACGGAGGCAGAAGGTTTAGCATGAATTTATTTGATAAATCTGGTGAGATTCGTGTGACCGCTTTTAAGGACCAGTGTGATAAATTCCATAGACTGATCGATGACGGCAATGTCTACTTTATCACCAACGGTTGCATTAAGCCGGCCAACAAGCAGTACTCTCAATTGAAGAATGATTATGAGATGACTTTCACCGGCGAGACTATGGTTCAGCTATGCGACGAGGACGACAATGGTGGCATACCCGAAATTAAGTTCGATCTGATACCTATTTCGCAAGTGTCGAACATGGAAAACAAAGAAGCCGTCGATACAATAGGCATTTGCAAAGAAGTGGGCGAGCTGCAGACCTTCACTTCACGCACAACCAATAAGGAGTTGAAGAAACGCGAACTCACCCTGGTGGATATGAGTAATGCTGCCGTCACTCTAACGCTCTGGGGCGATGAGGCCGTCAATTTCGATGGACATGTGCAGCCCGTCATCTTGGTCAAGGGATCGCATGTCAATGAGTTCAATGGTGAAAAAAGTCTAAACATGAGCTGGGGCTCAATTCTTAAAATTAATCCAGATATACCTGAGGCCCACAGACTGCGTGTTTGGTTCGATAATGGGGGCGCCGATAACATAGTCTCTGTTTGGAGAGGAGGCGCCAGCTTCAGCTCGGAATTGATTACCCTGAAGGATGCGTACCTTCGAAACCTGGGTTCGGGTGACAGGCTAAACTATTTCCAATGCATAGCAATAGTGCAGAATGTCATTCAACCGAATTCCTTTTATAAAGCGTGTCCTCAGATGTACTGCAACAAAAAGGTCGTGGATGAGGGCGATGGCCAATACCGCTGCGAACCCTGCGGTACAGTATCTCCAAACTTCAAGTATTTCCTAAGAGTTAAAGTGAGTACTGTGTACCTTCATCTATATTCGAATTGTATTTCTTAATTTTTGTATGCTACAGATAAAAATTAGTGATTACACCTCGGACCGTGAGGTCATCTGCTTTGGCAAGATCGCCGAGCAGTTGCTTAGGCATACAACCGATGAAGTTGTTGAGGCCTCGGAGAATGATCCGGATAGAGCTCTAAAAATATTCACTGATCCTAATTACACATCATACATTTTCAAATTGAGCTGCAAGAAAATAGTGTACGAGGGCAATGTGATGAACACGCTGACTGCCCAGTCCATGACTCCCTTCAACTGCAAGGAATACAACAAATATCTGATCAAGGAAATCAATCGAATGCAAAATATAGCTGCGAGCTAACCAGCTAGTCGAATTTGAAAATATCATCAAAGTTGCAATATTATAATAAAGTGCAATATTATTTTGTAATCTACCCAATAAACATTTTTTACTTTTGTAAAATTGATGTATTTAATTGTAATACTATTGTCTCTATATTACCCTTTCCCTTATCAATGATTCTCCAGACGGAAAGCTTTAAGAAACTGCTTGTATTTGTGTGTAAATTATTTATATTTTATTGATTTCTAATAAATTCATATTTTGTTTCTTTTCGATTTATATATATATATATATATATATATATATATATATATATATATATATATATATA